TTATGGAAAAAGTTAGGATGCCAGATTTTTTTGTTCTTTTAAAAGTATTCATTGCATACTTGCAATCTTAAAATACTTGAAGTATAAAACCAAATTGTCAGTTATTAGCTGTTAAAAACAAAAAAAAATCTTTTTGTATAATTGTATAATAAATAATCTAGTCGAGTAAATGAAAATTATCATTATCATTTATCATTTGTAGAGTAAAATTTTATGCAAAATAGCCCACTCCTTAAATAGCAATGTCACAAGAACCATATTAAATATTGATCTGAAATTTTCAAAACATAAATAAGTACAAATTCAAAACGTTACAGCAAAATCTGACATGGTCCATAAGGACCTTTATTTCACTTGGCATTGAATGACCCTAATTATAAAATTACATACTATTTAAATATAAAATAAACTATATTATCTATAATATTCATATATTGTACAATTTATTGATAATTTAGACATTTTGATAAAACAATAAAGATTGATCAAAAGTAATTTGTTAATTTATTTAAAAGAGTTTTGTGTAATATAAAATCATTAGAAAAAAACAAAGTTTCAAAATTATTTATTCCAAACATAAACTATAAATGCTTAAAATAATTATCTTTTAGACTTTGAGTTTTATTTTAGTTAAATTTTATTTTTATTATTTTAGAACTTTAGTTTATTAATTTTTTATTAATTTTTCTTTTAGTTTGTTAATTGTTACTAAACTTTTTTTTGCGAATTTTCAAAACGTTTCTATTTCAAAACATTTAAACAATCATGGTCAAGTTGTCTTGAGTAAATACTTTATGCATGGAAAGACAAAGACAGAGGTGGGCAGAAAGCGTGTGATACTGCATACACTTCCTGCAACATCCTGATATATATATATATATATATATATATATATACATACATACATATATATATATATATATATATATATATATATATATATATATATATATATATATATATATATATATATATATATATATATATATATATATATATATATATACATATATATATATACACTTCATTTAACAATGAGTACACTACGGTGCATTATATAATTTTAAAAAACTTAACAAAAAGAAGCCAACACGCGATATAATATTTTAAAGTACAACTGTACTGTTTTTTTTAAACTTTTGTTGCATTTTGAAGCACGTTTCTTCTCAATTTAGAATGAGTTTTAAAATTACATTTTCTTTCATTTTCAAATGCTATTGTTTTCATTTTATTGTATCATTTTTTGAATCTTATAGTCACATTTTGAATCACCGGAAAAGTTGAATCATTAACTAAATCTCTTTTGTTTTTCATTAGTAAAATAAATTTTTTTAAACTTTAACAAAATTAACAAAATAAAAAACATTATAACGCATAAAATAAAAACATTATTAGAACGCAATAAATGATGCAAGTGAAAATTCTTTTTTCCTAAAAAAAAATTCTTAGTCTAATGAAAAATGTTCAATACATTAAAAATATAATGTTTTAAACATTCAACTAAATTAAATTTGATTGAAAATTGAGAGAGAGTAACAGAATATTTTTTCTATATATAAAATGTTTTTTTGCAGTTTTGGATTTCAACATTTTAGCTTCATGTATGAAACCTTTGTTAAGATTGACAAACACAAACGAAACAATACAGATACTGACTACAACAAAAATGACAACATATCTTTAATTTAATTAATTAACTAATTTACTTTTAAACAAACCATTTCTTATTAGATGTATTTTAGTAGTCAGATATTTAATTTTTTTTTCTTAATTATTTTCACCCAAGAAAAAATACAAAAAAAAACTTTTACACTGGACTATTGATTATCATACTGGACTATTGATTATCATACTCAATAAGAAATAAAAACTGTGTCAATTGAAGGGAGAACAGGAAAAAACTGGAGGACACACCTTTGAGAGCGCTTGCCTCATTAGTGAGATGTTCAGAGTTTAATTCCTACCATGTCCCTGGTAGTACAGCATTCCGATCATTTATGACACTTTGATATCTTGAAAAGTAATGGAATCATTCAGCAAAGTTTGACACATTTTGTTTTTGTATTTCAAAGGTTGTGACCATATAGATTGAAGTGTAAAGTAGAGAGAAAAGTTATTTTCCGAGTGAAGAGGTCAACTTTTATGTGTTACAGAATAATCAAAAAAAAAATATTAAGTTATACACCTTGGTTATGGAAATAGTAATCATGAACATGTGATGAATGATGGAAATACATCATTTACTCTTGAGGCAATGGATATTGAGAGAGACCTGGGTATCTTTATATCTAATGATCTAAAATGGAATATGTATATATAAATATATATATATATATATATATATATATATATATATATATATATATATATATATATATATATATATATATATATTCCCTTTGAAATTTAATGCCGGCACATAAAAAAGCGCTGACAGCATGGTCAGCTTTTTTAAGTTAACCTGCGCGATTTAAAAAATTCATCCCACTTAAATAAAAATAAAAATAGTGAAGAAAAATAGCGTATGCTTTGAATAAATATTAGATAAAATAACTTTAAAACCAGGTAAAAAAAGCATTTTTTATAAAAGTTAAACAAATGAACAAAAAAATTTTTTGTTGCAATTTAAAACGCTTTTATTTTTATACACCTTGGTTATGGAAATAGTAATCATGAACATGTGATGAATGATGGAAATACATCATTTACTCTTGAGGCAATGGATATTGAGAGAGACCTGGGTATCTTTATATCTAATGATCTAAAATGGAATATGTATATATAAATATATATATATATATATATATATATATATATATATATATATATATATATATATATATATATATATATATATATATATATATATATATATTCCCTTTGAAATTTAATGCCGGCACATAAAAAAGCGCTGACAGCATGGTCAGCTTTTTTAAGTTAACCTGCGCGATTTAAAAAATTCATCCCACTTAAATAAAAATAAAAATAGTGAAGAAAAATAGCGTATGCTTTGAATAAATATTAGATAAAATAACTTTAAAACCAGGTAAAAAAAGCATTTTTTATAAAAGTTAAACAAATGAACAAAAAAATTTTTTGTTGGAATTTAAAACGCTTTTATTTTTTTGGCAAGCACTTTTTTATGAGCTTGCCAAAGTTTTTGCAAGCGTGTGGGCAAGCGGAAAAAGATGAAAGCGCAGGCTAAATGGAGAAGACTGATATATATATATATATATATATATATATATATATATATATATATATATATATATATATATATATATATATATATATATATATATATATATATTTAAACAATTTAAAATGTATTCTACAAAAAGAGTGCTCAATGTTCTTAAAAGAACAGAGCAATTACAAATTAGTAGAAAATCTCTTAGCAAAATTTTTTCTCATTTAACACTGTGTTTCATCAATAAAGACTCATCAGAAATCTGATGAGTCTTTATTGATGAAACACAGTGTTAAATGAGAAAAAATTTTACTAAGTAATTTTCTACTAATTTATATATATATATATATATATATATATATATATATATATATATATATATATATATATATATATATATATATATATATATATATATATATTTATATACATATATTATATATATATATATATATATATATATATATATTTATATATATGTATGTATGTATGTATGTATCTATGTATGTATATATATATATATATATATATATATATATACATATATATATGTATGTATGTGTATATATATATATATATATATATATATATATATATATATATATATATATATATATATATATACATATATATATATATATATATATATATATATATATTTATAAATATATATACATATATATATATTTATAAATATATATATACATATATATATATATACATATATATATATATATATACATATATATATACATGTATATACATATATATATACATATATATATGTGGTAGTGGTATAGTGGTAGAGCGCTCGCCTTAGAAGCAAGAAGTTCCAAGTTTGATTCCCATCATGTCCCTGGTAGTACTGCACTTAACTTGTTTCTCCACACAGCAACTTTATTCATCAAGGTTTGTGTTTCGGAATTATAAAGATAATAAGGGGCTTGTAACCACAACTAAAGTAGCCTCCTTGACTGTAGTAGCCTTCATGGCCTTGGGGAGGTGAAGTGAAATAAATATATATTTATAAAAATATATATATATATATATATATATATATATATATATATATATATATATATATATATATATATATATGTGTTTACATATATATTCATACATATATATTTTATATGTATGTATATAAAAACACAATTTTATATATGTATGTAATATGTATGTTAAAAACACAATATATTGTTTATTTATGTATATAAAAACACAAAAACAATTATTTAACTATTTAGCCTTGAATGAAATATTGATGGCATATCATACTGAAATAGCCATCTGCGGGGGATTTAATAAATATACCAATATGGTGGTTGGGCATCTACTATTTAAATATGAAGAGATATTGTTATTGCTAAAAAATAACTGCAACTTTTTATAGGAAAAAATTTTCTATAAAAAATTAGTAAAATATTTATGAATAAAAGTTGTGTTGATAAGAAAGTAGAACAAAAATAAGCTAAAAAAGTTTGTGGCCTATAATATTTACAAGACTTTCCAGTTTGCTTTTTGTATTCCTTTGATAAAACTAAGTTAATAAAAAAAAGTAACATAAATTGAACTTATTATTGAAATATTGTAGAGAAATAGCTTTTTATTTTTCAAAAAGTCATACGGCATCGAATTACTCAGTAGACTTTTATTTTAATTAGGTAAGAATAAATAATATTGAATTTACTTTTTTTAATTCTTTTTTAAACAAAATAATTTTGGTGAAGTTATTAAGAAACAACTAAATAATAAATAAATTTATGATACCGCCTTATATTAAAATTTTAGTCAACATTATTTAACTTACAATTGCTGAGAACATCATAAACTTCAGCTACTTGCTTAAATTTTAAATCAGAGCCAGGTTCTTGATTCTTGTGGGGATGATACTTTAATGCAAGTTTTCGGTAGCTAAAATATATAAAAACTATTATTAATTTTGGTTAAAAGTTAGAATACTATTAAAATGTTTAAAATTTAAAAAAACTTTGAGCACTAAAAAATAAATAGAAATAAATAGAAAAAACCTGCACATGAGTAGTAATATATTATTATTAATATTTTATCAGATATTTTAGCAAGGTACATTATAATATATAAAATAAATAAATATATAATAATAGTATACTAGAAATATTTAAAAAGCAATAAAAAAATTAAGTAGAGTAAAATGGGGTTAAATTAATAGTTAAGAGTTTTAATTTTAATATTGCAGAATATTTGGAGCTTTCAACATTGCAGAATATTTGAAACTGTAATTATATAAACTGTAAATATATACAAATTAAAAAAAAAAAACATTTTAAAAAACTTTATTAATTTTTTTTTTTAAAAAAAACTATATCATTCTACCCTCACATTTCAGAATGAAATTGATGAGTAGTTAAAAAAAAAACAATTAAAAAGAACAATCATTTATAACAATTATTAGAGGAAAGGGGGTAACATAAAAAAAAATTTTAAAAGAAAACAAGTGTTATCAAATATTAGGACTACCAAATTTTGTATGTTGTAAATTATTTGAAAGTAAACTTTTTAATTTACATTAAAATCATTATTTCCTCAAATTATATTTCTAAACTTATTGAAGATTTAACTAGAAGCTACAAAATTAAGCATTAAAATAACCAGTAAAATTAATAATTAGTAAGCCTAATTTTATCATAAGTTATTTTTAAAACAAATATAATAAATTCTTATGTGTTATATATTATAAATACCATATAATAATAATATAATACATATTATTATATCAAATAAAACTAAGCTATAAACATTTAACAATCAGAAAGTAGCAGTAGTATGAAACTAGACTTACGATTTTTTTATATCAGCATCAGTACAACTTCTAGTTAAACCAAGAACAGCATAGTAATCTTGTCCCATATCAGAATTAATAATAATTTTTTTCAGAAATTATTTAAGTTTAAACCTTAAAATTTAAAGGCAATTTAATAGATGCACTTAAATTACAACAAGTAAGAGTATTTCTTAAAATCGAGCCTCCATTTTTTAAATTGAATTCAGTAAGGAAAATTTTAAATCCTTTTCCGTTTATTTGTTACCAATTATTTGGTATACTAATTAACTATAAATTTTTGAACTATAATATTCACATTTAATTTTCTGAGCAACTAACATTTAAAAATTATTTTAGATGGAATAGCAAACTATTAATAACTATATTTAGATATGAAATAGTTTTAAAAAATTTTGATCAGTTTTTTAATCGCATTTTTTTTTAATGTATATTAAAAAATAATATAGTTGAAAAATAATTGGTGAAACTATACAAATGTGTAATATAACTTTCATAAATTAGTACTACACAAATGGTGTAAATATAAAAACCTTCGTAACAACGGTTGCTAATAAAACATAAACAAATGGTTAATAATAAGGAGGGCATTTTTGTACGCCGCAGCGTACAAATACGAGCGCACTGCGCAGTGGGGCAGAATAGCTTCAAAACATGCTAATTGACAAAAATGAGACTTGGTGTGATGAAATTATTTTTGGTAGTATTATATAAGGCAGACCGGGGTTAGTTGGAACATTGAACTTTTGCGCCGACTAACAAGCAGTTTATTATTACAAACAAGAAACGAAGGTTTCAAGAACTAAAATACATACTATTTTGTTGTTAGATAAAATAAATTGCAAAAATTAAGTTGTTGCTTAAGATTTTAGAGAATTGTACACATAAAAGTAACTTTTTGTGGTTTTAGTATTATTAATTGTAATCTTGTATTATAAAAGATAATAAAATAGTTTGAAAACATCTAAGTATTTTTTTGTGGGCTTTCTTTTAATGTTCTTTTTTATAGGGTTTTGTGCATAGGATACCTTAATTAAATGGTTTAAGAATGCACTGGCTAAATGGGGGTTTGTTAGAACATTTTGATTTGGGTTTGTTGGAACGTTTTTTAATTTAAAGCATTAATTATACTCCTTCTATTATCGCTCATGGATTATTTTAGTTATTTTATAATTATCCAAACTGGCATACTAAATTAGAGTTTAAACCAAGGATCTTATTATTATGCATGTGTTTTATTTATTTAAATCTTGCTACCGCACGTTGTTGAAATCTTCTTTATTATTTTGAACACAAGCTGTTGGTTGCGGCTTTTTAATAACAATTGAATTCTTAAAAACAATGGTTTTCAACTCTTTACAAATCTACGTTTAAAATGTTGTGCGTTTAAAACTTATACATTTTAAAAGTTCTTTTACTTAGTTTTTCAAAGAGGTTTGTTATTTAAATTTAAACTATACTTTCAATATACGATTCCAATTTTTCTTGGAAACTATTTGTGGTCACGGTTGAAACTATTTGCGGTCACGGTTATTAGAAATTTTGTTAAACTGCTGTGTGAAAGAGTTATCGGTATTAAAAAATTAGTTTTAGAATGCGTTATTATAAACGAAAGACACCAGTAAAAGGTATGACATCAAGCAATACGATGCTTGCTGCTGTCAAAAAAGTAGTTGAAAATGGAGAAAAATGCCGAGGAGTTGCAGCAGACTATAGCATTCCTTATGTGACACTCAGAAGATACTGCATCAATGTCAAAGCAATCTCAAGCACCCCGATCAGTTTAACTGTGGGGTACCTTAGCAACAGAAATGTTTTTACTATGGAAGAAGAGAATGCGCTTCCGAGGTACATTTTAGAGGCTTTACGCGTATACTCTGACCTCACTCCTGCAGAAGTGCAAAAGTTTGTTTACAATTACGCGAAAAAAACTAAATGCAAAATTCCTTTTTCATGGGAAAAGAACAAGCGTGCTGGTACAGAATGGTTTTCTTCGTTTTTAAAAAGAAAACCAGAGCTTGAAATAAGAACGCCTGAAGCTACATTGCTGAGTCGTGCCACCAGCTTTAACAGATATAATATGAATTTATTTTTCTACAATCTGAATTCGGTAATAACAAAACACAGCTTTACAGCAACAGATATTTGGAATATGGATGAGCCAGGTTGTACAACTGTACAAGAGCCACAAAAGATTGTTGCCGGAAAGGGAGTGAAGCAAATTGGAGCTGTCATATCGTCCGAGAGAGAAAAATTAGTGAAAGTGTGTTGTCCTGTTAGCGCTTCTGGGAATACTATTCCACCAATGCTTTTTTTTCCTACAGTAAATTTTCGTGACCATTTTGTTTGTGGTGGTCCAACAAGATGCATCGAAACTGCGAATCCATCCGGATGGATCAATCAACAGAGTTTTTTGCTGTTCATGAAGCACTTTTTGACTCACGTATGATGCACCCCACAGCGACCAGCTTTATTGCTACTTGACAATCATGAATCGCACATTAACCTAGAAGTTTTGGATTTTGTAAAGACTAATGGAGTTGTTATGTTGTCCTTTCCGCCTCACTGCTCAGACAAGCTGCAGTAATTAGACAGATCTGTCTACTTTCCTTTTAAAAAATTTTTCAACACTGCATGTAACACATGGATGAATGCAAGTAAAGACAAAACAATGACTATTTATGACATTCCAAGCTGTGTATGCTTTGCATTTCCTCTGGCAATGACAATGAAAAACATATGCGCAGGGTTTAAAGTCAGTGGAATCTGTCCATTCGATCGCAAAATTTTTTCGGAACTTGAATATATGCTTTCAAAAGTTACAGACCGCCTAGAACCAGCAGTGACTATGTTATATGACAGTTCCAAGTTCCTGCTTTAGCTACTATCAGTCAAGAACTTCTTGTCTTGAATACTGGTAATAATTATAATAACAATATTTGTGATTTTTTATTTAAATTTTAATTATGATATTTTGCCTTTATTCAGATGTAGAACCAGATAATAATGTGCATATTAGACCATTAACTCCAGGACTTCTCAAAACTCCATCAGCAAAAACCCCACAAGAAGTTTTTGAAGAATTTGAAAGCGTTCAATATTGGACGTTTCGACACCACAATTTTCAAAAAAAATTCGCCCTAAAAAAGGAACGACTCGCATTTTAACAGATACACCGGAGAAACACAAGATTGCCAGAAAAAAAGTAGCAAAAGAAAAGAAGATACAGACAAAAACTGCAAAGAAAGTACCAGAAAAGAATATACTTACAAAAATTACACCAAAAAAAGTCTATTCTGTAAAAGATAAGGTTAATAAAAAGAAACGCGAGACAAAAAAACCTAAAAACCGTAAAAAGACTTAAGGGGTAAACAGATTCTATCTGTTGACCAGCCTCGCACCCCTTCCTCATCTATAAGGCTGGCGCAGATGTATTTTTAATACATTGTTTCCAGTTTAGGATGTTGAACGCTGGATCTTCTTGACTCAATGCGTGGGTATTGCTTGTGTCTCTATTTTTACGACTGGGCAACTCATTCTATTATCTCCTAATGAGGGTACAGCTCTAAAACTCAGTTTTATGGTTCTGAGGCCGGCTGGTAGTCAGGTTTCCCGAACTCTGTGGTAGCTCTCAGAGAGGCTGATTCCATCAACAGCCGAAAAATATCAGAGTACTAACAGTGCCATGTTGCGCATGGATGGTGTCCCTGTTTGTACTTTTGGTGTGCATTGCAGAGGCCACATTTGGAGCCCTTTGTTACGGTTTAGGGTTTATTAATAATAATGAGGCTATTGCTTAGTTGTTAAATAGTGTACTGAGTACTATCTATACTTGAGTCAAGTTCTTTATAAATTCAAAATGACTAAAGCACCTAAAACTAAAAAACACAAAAAACCATCGTCATCACCAAGTTCTCTAAACCTATCATTTACTAATATTCGTGGTCTTCGAAGTAACTTTTCTTCTGTTGAGTCTTATCTCTTGCAAAGTTCACCAGACCTACTTGCTCTTTGTGAGACTAATTTGAGTTCGGCTGTCCCATCTTGTGATCTTAGTGTTGATGGTTATCTTCCTTTAATTCGTAAAGACTCCAATAATCACATGCTTGGCCTGGGCATCTACATTCGTAAGAACTCACCCATTTGTCGTGAAACTAGGTTTGAATCTACAGACTATTCATTTATGTGCTTTCGTTTAGCACAACTTCACTCTATCGCCTTTCTCTTTGTTCTATATCGCTCTCCTTCATCCCAAGATTGCACTATTCTTGATGCTATTTCTAATCAAATTGACCAAGCCCTCTCTCTTTATCCATCGGCCAATATCGTCGTTGTTGGTGACTTTAATGCCCATCACACCGATTGGCTTGGCTCTAGTGTCAGTGACTCTGCTGGCGTTAAGGCCCTCAACTTTTGCCTTTCTCAATCTCTAACTCAAATAGTCAACTTTCCAACTCGTTTTCCAGACAACTCTAATCATTTACCTTCTCTACTCGACTTATGTCTTGTTTTGGATCCTAGTCAGTGCTCAATTTCTCCACATTCACCCTTAGGTACTTCTGATCACGGTTTGATCTCTCTAAAACTATTATCAAATTCTTCTACTTCATCAGAATCCCCCTTTCATCGTACCACATACAACTACCTTAAAGCTGACTGGGACTCTTTCCGTGCTTTTCTTCGTGATGGCCCTTGGGTATAAATCTTTCGTCTTCCTGCTGACAAATGTGCTTCTTACATAACTTCGTGGATTCAGGCTGGCATGGAATCTTTTATTCCCTCTCGACGATTCCAGGTCAAGCCTCACTCTTCTCCTTGGTTTTCCTCACATTGCGCTGCAGCAATTTCTAATCGAAACTGTTACCTCCATATCTATCAGCAAAACAATTCTCCAGAAAACAGACATCTGTTCACTATCGCCAGAAACCATTGTAAAAAGGTTTTGTCTGACGCCAAAGCTCGCTATTCCCAGGTCATTAAATCTCGTATCTCATCACAAAAATTAGGCTCTCGAGACTTCTGGAGAATCTTTAACAGTATCAATAATAAGGGCAAATCTGTTATTCCTTCTCTCTTGTATGGTTCAGACTTTGTCACCTCACCTAAAGACAAAGCTGAATTGTTTGCTAAGAACTTTTCATCAATATCATCTCTTGATTCCACTAGTAGTTTTACCTGACATAGCCGTCAAACAGGTTG